CTGTCAGGTGCACGGGACAACAGTTTAAACAATTATCCCAGCTGGACAAGCAAGCAGACAGCCTAGCAGAAATCCATAGCTCTATGGTCAACAAGGCTGTCTAGGCCTGACCACTGTACCCAGTGGGACCTGGGTATAAAGTAGATTTAGGAGTGCTGACCCCACCTCTGACCACTGTGCCCTAGGCTAGGTAAGGCCTACTCACTTCCAAAGTGGAGCAATGTCCCAGCATTCCATCCAAAGTGGTACCCATTTTCCTCCAGCTTGCTGTCACTTTCCTGTTAGGAGACAAATATGGTTCTGATAAAACTCCCTACAGTGAGGCCCCTTCACAAACCCATAAACTAGACCAGAAGCCAGTGGGACTGTGTCTTTTCTGAAGGTCAGGACACAGAGATAAATGAAGGCTGCAAATACAACAGCAGGGAAGGAGGAAGAGGAAGAAGAGGAAGGAGCTCCCTTCCCCTCATGAGGGGATACATTTCACTAGGACCAGAAACCTAAATGGTGGACAGATTAATGAGTACTGCTAGTTATTCCCCTGCAGACTGGTGCACACGGTCTGCACGTTCAAGGGCAGCTTGCACATGATATTGGCTCAGGCCCCCAATGAGGAGGATGCTTGAAACACCAACCCTTGATCATATTACCTTGATAATGAGGATTTTCTGGAGGGAAACCTATGGTAATTGGCTCACCTCCTCCTGTGCTGGACACAGACCCTTCATGCTGGGGAAGTGGGCACACTGCCATCTGGACTTCCTGCAGAGTTCCTGCTTCTGCTGTCTCAGGCCACACCTCAAAGTTGCCACCCTGTGTCTCCTGATGTAGAGAGCTCATCACTTTAAAGAGGACGGACATGGGAAAGGGACTCTAGGGGAATTTAAAATATGCAGCACTTAAGCTAGTCCTACTGTGCATCCCTCTCCCCCTGGCTCATCCCATCTGTCTCTTCCATTCTCTCTAAATTCCTCTCTTAGTCAATTTTTTCCTGCTGCCTCTGCAATCCCTGGTTATCTTCCTCTGTTCTCCATCCCCTGCTCAACCATGACACTTTATTTAGAAGTGGGTTTGTACTGTGGCACTGGTGATTTTGAAGTCAGAGTTTTAAATTTGCATACCCAGACAGTGAAAAAAGTTAATGTGTCAAATGCAAAGGACAGATGACAGTATCAAACACAAAATTAATTAGTGTCGTAGGCACTGAAGGCCTGGAACCAGACCAGTGACTCTGCAATGAGCACTAACAAGTAAAGATATGTGGACAGAGGGGTTTACAGTGTGACTCACTCTGTCACAATCGGTCACTGCAGCTTCCATGAGGAAACCTTTAAGTTTCCCTCTTTCCCCCGTTTTTAATTTTATCTTATGTTTCCTTTTTTCTGTTAAATTTTGTTGTATTGGGGCAGTTGTA